ATTATTAACTGAATAATAACCATAGTGACTACTTTAAACAGCTATGATAGGGATTAAATTAGTCAACAGCTATGAGAGGGATTAGTCAACATCTGAAAAGAATTTAGACCAAGTCTCACATGTAATAAGGCTTGGGTAAAATTTGACTGTTACTACACAGCATAAATACATAACAGAAATAAAATTCAAATCTGACTAAGAATTTATGCTCTACCTTGCTCCTAAGTGGTACATTTTGAAAATTTCCAGTTCACTGGCCCCTAGAAATTCCTCACCCTAAGCAAGATCCCCAAATAAATCTGACTATTAGACACAGTCTGGAAGTAGATGTAAGGGTGAATTCAAACTATTACAGGGCAGGAAAATGTGTTTAAGCATCTGGCATTTTTTTTTTTCAAAAAAGTTCATGCTCAGAACAAGAATGTGTTAAAACAACAACAAATAAGTACTGTCAATCTGAAATGTATCTCTCCCTTTAAATCTTCAAAGGACAGTCAAAACTCAATCAATGAGGTAGTACTTATCTCCTCAATGAAACACACAGAAGGTGCATTCATTTTTCAAGCCTTTATTGAAATGTGTGAGTGTGGGATTTCAGAGGCTGCTGAGATTCTGTGAGTTGCTCAGAACTGCCCATGTTTTCCGACATTTTTATTTAGAAGAGCAGAAGAGTAAAAGAAAGCAAATTAGGTCTAAGAATATGGTTAATTCTAATTATTCTTCAGTGGCTGCTTTCTTGTATAACAATAAAAGCCATAGTAGTATTTGCCCTTATGTTTTTAAAAATTGTAGTCACGATCTATTTATAAACTGGTTTATGATTAAGTAGTATGCTCATGTTTGAAGAGGATTAATAGCCACTCATCTTTTGGTATAACTAGATTAAACCAAATAAAACAAAGCTTAACTTCTAACTTAGAGATAACTCTTTTCAAGATATACCCTTCCAGAATTTAGACACATGCACAGGTGCACAAGTGCACACACATACACACACACACACACATACACCTCATATGTTTGTATATTTTCCCCTTTAGTGGGGCTCACATCATTTATAAATATTCTTCTTTTAGAATTTGCTTTTGTTTTTGCTTTGTTTTATTCAATGTCTTACACTTTCTTCCATGTGATTTTTTAAAAATTAAATTAAGTTCTTTATTAGCCAAAACTTGTAATTACCCTGATGCTTTTAACATTTTAAAAATGTTACTCCTCCAGCCTTCACTACTTTATTCTAATCTATACAAACTCTGTAAGTCAATTTGTCAATACAAATTCTAATGATAAAGTGTAGCCCATAATATTACTGAGATTATACTAAATGTTTTCAAATACTACATTAAACAACAAAAAAGCCAATAACTTTTTATGCTTTATGTTGTGTACATATACACATTCTTGTATATTCCTATATATCAGCATTATGATGTAGGAGGAAATACGTTTTTATTTAAATTATATTTACTGATATGCATAAGGTTATTTCAGGTTAAACTCATATTAGTTATTTATCTTACTAAGCTTTATAAGGGAAGCATTTTGATACACTAAGCAGGCATTTCTCTGCCTTAATATGATTTCATCATATCACAAGATAAATCTGAGAAATTAAAAGCAAAAAGAACATTTCTATAAATTTCAATAAAAGTTTAAAAAAGACGAGTTAAGGAGCAATCTGAAAACACGTCTGATTTTAGCTACATCCTTTTAATTCATCCTTGAAGAAGTGAAGAAAATCCAAATTGTATCTACTAAAGAGGTGAAGCCATATAATAAGAAACAACTGCTATTCAGAATTAAAGCTGTGCGTATAAAGAACTCTGCTATTCCAAACAATCTATATACAATGGGTTATTCTAACTCATTTGGACCATGAGTAACTTAGCAAAATTAGATTTTTTTCCCCCAGAGATTTTTTTCTTGTAATTGGATGCTCAGGGACACTTCTCTGGCTGGAGGGATAACTTACTCCTAGCCCCCTGCCTGCCAGAAATGGAGATGGTATTTTACCCAATAGATAAATTACTCTCTTGACTAATGACCACTCATATAGTAGGTAAATGGATTCAGATTTCTCAAATCTAGTTGAGATTTAAGGTAAAACTTTAAAAACAAATATTTATCAAATAATTAAATTCTTACCAAGGTGACCAGTAATATTAATGTTGGGCTAATAAAGTAAGCAGATTTTTACCATCCCTAAATTTATGAAAGATCATGATACCATTTAAATATAGGCATATCTAAAACAAATTCTAAGACATCTTTTTAGACTTATGAGTATTTTATCAATTCTGTTCAATTAGCAAATATAGAGTGCCAGACCAAATCTACAAAATAAATGTTTATTGACTGGGTGAATACCATATTTCCCTGAAAAATAAGACCTAAATGGAAAATAAGACTTAGACTGATTTTTCGGGTATAAGCCCCACCTCCCCAAATTAGCCCCAGTTAATACCTTCCACTAGACAGGCACATTTAGTGTGCCTGTTGCAATACACTGCAGATGTATTGAATTATAAAACTATAATATTAACATATAATTAAATATAAGTAATATTGTTGACATTAATACTTAAATGATGATATAAATTATAATTAAGCACTTGTAAATACCCAAACAGGTGGAAGAGAGGTAAACACCTATGTAAACAGATGAACTGCAGACCTATTGCTGAATGACCAATCAGAGTACAGACACAACACAGGAACAATGGGCACAACTGATAACTAACAGATGTAGCTGGGTCTCATATGAATTTTCATAATTCAATACATTGTGTTATAATGGACATACTTAATGCACTCATGTGAAATAAAGAAGCATTTTCTTAATTTTGGTGCCTGCAATTTTTCATCGCTTTTATGTGGCTCAGCATTCTTAACTGTCATCGTTTTTGTTGCCAGTCCTGTCTTGTAAGTCTTTAATCAACACCTGATTTTATAGAAACTTTGCAAAGCCTAGTCTCCAAGAGATTGTGACTTGGGTGAAGTATTCACAGGATAAAATCACTTACAGCTGTGTTGCCAATGCACTATGAGCAGGCTACATAGACAAGAAGTGCTCTTTTAAGGACAGCTCTACTGCTACACATGAGAGATTGAGACCAATGATTCTACAGGAAATGGAGTTGCAAGAAATTCAGGATGAAATTCAGGGTTCAGTGTTGTGACAATGTTCCAGAAGAAGATGACATGACTATATTTGAATAAATGTAGAATTTTGTACATAAATAAATGTATATTTTTGTACATGAAAATAAATCCTATTGCATCTTTAGGAGCAAAAATTAAGTAAGTTCTGGTCTTATTTGGGGGGAAACATGGTAGATATCTCTCTGGAGTCCTATGTGTGGCTTTGGGTTAGATGAAAAATCCAAATGATAAAGGAATATGATATCAGCCTTCAAGGACCTTATAATTTAAAATGGTAAGATATGTACATAGGAAGTATGTATATGCTATAAGAAGGTGATAGGTATCTTTTAAGAGAACAGAGACAATGTGCTGTGGATGTCAAAGGAGAGAACTCACAGAAGAGGTAGAGTTTCAAGTGGGCCTGGAAGAGGGTACAATGATTTGAATCTGAACCCAGAAAGGAACCTGTAAGAACAGACACAGGTATGCGATGGCACAGAGGCGTGCAGATGCTGATTGATGGGAAATGGGAAGTCAAGAAATATTTCAGAATAGAGAAACAATAACTTCAGGGTTGTGGTTGGGGGCAGAGCCAACTGTAGTGTATGAACTGCACTGGAGGATGGAGGGACTAGGGACAAGGGAGTGGTCTTCCTACTGATTTTTGGAAATGTGGAGCCTGGAGCTGGGAACAGGCTAGATTGTAATAAAGGCTTGAGATCCTGGACTTTTCTTCCTAGTGTTCATACCTGAGAAGCCCTAAGAAGAGAAGAGCACCAGAGGGCCAAAGCAGTTTCTGTTGGAGAACTTCCTGTAACAGAAAGGCCAATTCCATACTAAACATCCCCTCAATGCCTGAACCCAAAAAAGACCGCTCAGGACAAAGTAGGGCCCACAAGGAGGCAGGAAGTTAAGGTGTGGAGAATCTGAAGGAACAGTGCATCCCTGTATGCATCAAGATTAAAACAAAAGCAATTATTAAGTGGAGTACATTTAAAACCGAATGTATCTGAACCCTCTTTAACTGCCATATTTCTTGGTCTAAAGAAATTCTGGGGCCCTAGGTTTAAATATTATCATGGCCTGTTCTTTCCTTTCTTTTTCTTTTCCTTCGTTCCTTTCTTTCTTTCTTTCTTCCTTCCTTTCTTTTTTTTTCTTTTTGAAGTTTTAAAATATTTTGTTTCCCTAAAGCCCTGTAGCTGTGCAGGCTATTTCCACCTGTCTAGGAGCACCAAACCCAGAAGTTGTAAGGCCCAATGACAGCTCAAGTTCAGCGTCTTTACTGCACCCTGAATTTGAGGAAGGAGTTAGGTGTCCATCCTAAAGGCTCCACTAAACAAATATTTTGCATAGGTGAAGCTGCTAAGATGGCCAAAGAAAGCAAGCCAGGGTTTTAATAGCGCCCCCCATGGGAAGCACGAGTTAAGGCGGCCGCCGACCCTGCTTCACCCTCAAACCTAGAAAAGCGAGGTTACTCTGGGCTAGAGATGGCCCCCAAGTGGAGCTAGAGGTGCCAGGAAGAAAGTCTGATCTTATCTGCGCTCTAGTTATCCCCAAAGCTCCTTCTCCGGGAACACATGTCTGGGCCCATCATTCAGGGCCATCTGTCTTCACCCCAGTTTTCCGGAATCCAGCAGCGAGCGCTGGGTCACGGCCGTGTAGGGGCCAGACGGAGGGAGAGCCCTGAAGCGGGGAGCAGAAGGCGGAGGGAATCCCGCGAAGCCTCCGGCGCGCGTCCCGGGGCTTTCCCCGACGTCGGAAGCGTGGCGGCCGGGTGCGAGCAGGTTGAGCCACAGAGCGAAGCAGGTGGGTGTGGAGCCGGGCCGCGGCGGCAGGGAGCGGCGGGCGCGCTGGAGCAGAGAGGGAGGCGCCCGTGAGGTGTGGGAGGTGCGCGCCCGGCCGCGCCCTGAGCTCCGGGGCTACCTCCGGCGGAAGGCTGAGCTCCAGCGCCGCGAGGCCGAGTCCGGGGGTCCCCTCAGGTGCCTGCCAGCTACACTGCCCGTCACCCCACCAGGCCGCCCACCTCGAAAGCTGCGAGCGCCGAGAAGGAGGCGGAAGAGGAGGAGGAGGAGGAGCAGAGAAAGAGGAGGCGCCGACCGCCTCTCCTGGGCGCGCGAGGTGCGGCCGAAGGCTGGGGTGACCGCGGGCGAGTGTGCGCGCGGGGTCGGAGAGCCGCGGGGCGGGGGACGGCGCCCGTGAGCGCCCCGCCTCGCCTCCGGCGCGCAGCCTCTCGCGGCTCCTCACAGACACACACACCCACCGGGCACCACCGCCGCCCCCGCCCGCTGCGGCCGCCGCGCCTCGGGCTGCCGAGCAAGCGGCAACTCCCGGGCCAGCGAGGCGCGCCTTTCCGGCTCCTTCGGCGCGGCGAGCTCAGCCCCGCTCGATTTTTCCTGCTCTCTTCCAACGCTCTCCTGTCTGAGTGACGGCGGCGGCAGGGAGATGGGGGCCCCGCGCGGGGAAGGGGGTGAAGATCGATGAAGATTATTGTTCTTTTAGAGGATGCCTTAGCTTCTTCCCGCCGCCTCTCCTTTGAGCTTTGCTCCTAGAGACTGTGCACCAGAGTCAGGGATGTAAGGAGAGGGGGAAAAACAAACGCCAGGAGCTCCAGCCAGCCTGGGAGACCCTCCTCTCGGTGGAGGGGAGGGGGATTTCCAGCGACAGATCATTGGCGAAGGGACCGTCGCAGGGAGAGCAGCCTTGGAGGGAGCGGGGAATCCCACATCCCTTTGTGGCACCCGAGCCAGTGCCGCCGCTGAGCGGGGTCTCTGGGAGCTAGGTAAGTGGCGGGGAGCTTTGCTGCTCTCCGAAGGGGCTTCCTATAATGTAAGGACGATTCACCGCGGCAGCCTAGCCAGACTGGAGTTGCTGAAGGAATTGGAAACTGCCATATGGCGCTGAGTGGACTTACACACAAAGCGGACTTAACCCTGACAAGGTTATTAATGTAAGGCTCCCTCTCGGTGCGGAGCACTCGAGTGTTAGCCCCCCGAAAAGATTCCCAGCAGCCTGACTGGGAAGGGATGGGAAATGCTTATTTCTAGGAGAGGAGCTCGTTGCCTTCTGTTTATTTGTTGGTAAATGCCACACTCACATGCACACACTTGTGGGACTGGATTTAGGGAGTGTGATGTCTCCAGTGCTTGTAGAGTCCTCAGAACACAAACATGCATGCGTTTTATTCTTCAAGAGGTGCGCGGTCTTGGTTCTGTAGCATGGTTCCTGAGAGAGAAGAGCAGGTCTCTAAGGAAAGCTTCATGGCTGTTTCCAACACACTCTGCTGGGGGACTTGGGAATAGTTGCCCTGAATGGCTCCAAAAGACACCTAGCATTTGCCTCATCATTTGCTCCCAACGCTTAATGACCTTTTCCAAAATATTATGCTGCTGTCAGTTTTGTCAAATTATGAGCATTTATTTATGGGTATCCATTCATAAAAATTGTGGGAGTGCAGCATGCACAAACATGGCATTAATGCAACATTTATGACTGCATGAATGTTTTGAAAATAAGTAATAATAAAGACAAGATTATACTGGAAAAATGTAGCAGGCATAGATATACACTGGATTAATTTCATGCAGGTCCACCATTCCCTTTAATCAAGTTATGCAATGATTTTAATATTTTAAATAGCTTTTCACATTTCTAATTTTGCATTAAGTGGCATCTGGATTTTATGGGGAATCTTTCTTTTTAAACCCCAGCTCAAAAGAAAAGCATTTTAGTGTTACTATCTTTAAATGTGTAGTATTGTATGGGACAGAGGCCTCTTGGTTTATTTACCAGTCAACATCAATCAAGATATATTACATTTCATAGGACAAGTGCAAGATTTCTGTCAAAGATCTAGTCTGACCTGTCAGTGTTGAATAACTTACAGGAAAAATTTTGAAAGAGAGTAACAATTTAAAAACTGGATAGATAGATAGAACTATGTACACACATATATAAAGTTTTATCTGTTTCACTCTAGGTATGTGTGGGTGTGTGGGTGTATGTGTGCATGCATATCAATGAAGTTGTCCAAAGTTTAACTTGTGATACTTGAATAAAACCTTAGACATCTAGAGAGTTCTTTGACCTTGAATTAACTAAAACTTCACCCAGAAGTTGGCACATTATGCATGTGTATGTGCATTTCATTGCTGTCTGAGCTGGTGTTTTTAATGTAGAGTGTGAATAAAGTGCTTATTGGTGTGGCTACATGGACTTTCTGAGAATATTGAAGACCCAGTGTAACTTTTCCTCTCAATACATGTGGAAGTGTTCTTGTCACCCAAAAGTTAATATGCCCCCCCAAAGCAAATCCTATAATCCCCTCTCTCATTGGGTTGCACAGGGGTCAGACCAATTGTTTGTCACAAATAGGATTCTGTCTAATGCACTCTTCTCCCTTGTCTGGCACTCTTCAGGCTTTTGGAAAAAGGAGTGAATCATTTGGCAGTTCTCTTTGCTTCCTTCCTTCCTTAACCTTCACTTTTCCCTCCCCATGTTAGTGTTCCCAAATATACCTCATACACAAACACATACTCTGACTCCAGAAAATAACTCTCCTGCCTGCCGCTTTGAGAGTTCTCATTCTCACTCCTTATTTTCAATATTGCCTCCTTTTTCTCCTGTTATTCTGAGAGAATCAGTGCATGAGTCAGTTGAAACTATTTCCAAATTCACTTTTGCCTAAATCCCAAAGTTCAGTTTTTCAGGCATACTTGTCTACTAAATATTCAGATGAGATTGGTAGAAATTATTATTTTCTCCAATGCATTTTATTTTGCTTTTAAAACTTTCTTGTTGATGCCATAAGGTAATTGTGACTATGAGCCTGCCTTTATGATTTTCAGTATGATAATAAAAGTAAGAATGCTAGCAGAAAAGAAATGGCAGGATATGGTTTTGGTCACATTTCTTGGCAATTTAAAAGCACATCTGAGCAGATTTTTTTTTTTTTTTCCGTACTGGGGATCAAACTCGGGACCTTGCGCTTTCGAGGCAGGCGGCGGAACCACTGAGCTAAATCCCCAGCCCATGAGCAGATTTTTGATATACCTAACTGTGTATTTGTAAATGTGTGTTTGTGGAGCATTGAAAAAATATTTTTTCTTCAATGAGTTTTGTGACACTTTGAAATGATGTTCTAGAAAGACTAGTGTGTATATGTGTGTGTGTGTGTGTGTGTGTATATCTATATATATATATATATAGAGAGAGAGAGAGAGAGAAAACGTATTATGAAGATCAAATGCTGGTAAAATCTATGAAACTTATGCTTCATTCTGCCCTAATGCATATTTTCCTTGATAAGGAAATAATTAGTTCCTGAAAATGTGCTATCTATATCTATATATATATATATATATATATAGAGAGAGAGAGAGAGAGAGAGAGAAAACGTATTATGAAGATCAAATGCTGGTAAAATCTATGAAACTTATGCTTCATTCTGCCCTAATGCATATTTTCCTTGATAAGGAAATAATTAGTTCCTGAAAATGTGCTATCTCTTAGAGATTAATTCCTAAGGAAAATCCTTAAAGTTGAAAATAAATCTTCTTGTGTGCATTTAAATATATAATATTAAGATATTGCTTATTTCTGAACATGATATCATTTAAGTTTTGCTTATATTCATCAAGTGGAATTTGCATAAAAGTATGAGGCTTGTTATTTTCACAAGGGCTTCAGAGGACTGGAGAGTACAAGTGGGTTATATGTGAGGGTTTTTTTTTTTAAGTTCTGAGTATTTTTTTAAGGTTTAGTCTTTATGGCCTTGTTACTCCCAAAGTGATAAATTTTGTAGAGCAGAGCAGTCTTAAATTTTTTTGGTCCATCCTAGAAGTATCTTCATAGTCCAGATCTATAGCCCATTCTCTTTTATTGCTTATTCCCTCCCTGTGCCTCTTAGATATATGTCCCGCAGCTCTTAGAAAATAAGTATATGAGACCCTTGACCAGTACAAGCCAAAACCTCCTGTATTGTCTTGAAAAATGACCATTCCTAAAGGTTGAATTGTACCTGTCTCTATTATCTGATTTAATGCATGGAGCCACTCACAAATTCATTCACTAATTTATTTATCAGTTATTAAATAGGCATAAGAAGAATGCTGGAAGGTACAGAAGACAGTCCTTTCCCTCAAGGATTTTTCTATAGTGTAGACAGTCAGAAACACTTTGAATTACTAAGTGAAAAATTGTGGTTACAGTTCAAAATGAGAGTTCTCTTTCATACAGAAACACATTTAACAATTTTATATTGAATAAATTAATTAAGATAAATTCATGGAGAGGATGATGGAAATTTGTTCCAGATTATACATTTAGGAATTGTTAGAAAGATCAACAACAACCATAGTACTCCATTTTACTAAAATATTTAATTTTAGATTTAAGATAAATTAGAATATTATAAATCAAAATATTTATATTATTTTATTTACATAATATTATAGCCAACACTTCAGACAAGTACTATTTTAAGCATTTTTTTCAAATAGTACTTTCATTTGCACAACCACTCTGATACAATAAATATACCTTTATTATATAGATATGAAAAATAATGTTCAGAGACATTTGTTATTTTCTCTAAGATCACATAGGAAGTAAGTGGTAAGAGGAAGTAAGTGGAAGTAAGTGAACCCAGGTGTTCTGGCTGCGCTTGAATCACTGTGATATCAAGAAGTATTAGGAAGCATGAGCCTAAGCACAAGAAGAAAAGATGTTTGCAGTTCCTAGATTTACTTGGGAGTTACATTTTCTTGCTAAAGGAGGCCGTGTTTATCACTACAGGGACTTGCTTGGGAATGCCCAAAAGGAGTTACTTTTTTTTTTTTTTTTTGGTACCAGCGATCCAGCTTGGGACCTTGCAGGTACAAGGCAGGCGGGGCAGAACCACTGAGCTAAATCCCCAGCACAGGAATTACTTTTTTTAAGTAGGAGAAAACCCCCAAGTTTTCAACATGAATTTAAAATAAGAAGGTAGTTTAGAGACTGGTTTTTTGGGGGCTTTTTTTGGTACTGGGGATCGAACTCGGGTCCTTGCACTGAGACTAATTTTTAAAATGTGGGATTTCATCAGAATTCTAACACATTAGAGAATTACTATCCTTACTTCGACCCTACGAATGAGGCTGTCTGACTCAGATGACCTGACTGGTAAATTTCTGATGCTAGTTTTCTTCAGTTACGGTTTTTGTTTTAAGTTTTTTGAAATATAGTGTAGTATTAGAAATATTATAGAATTATATGTCTTATTTTAGAAGAAAATTATTAGATTTGGAATTTAGTTTTCTTTTATTCATGTCCTCATTCTTTAACTGTAAAATATAATCCCAGTGTTTTAGTGGAAATTGAAATATAGTCACTTAGATTTACTTTCTTGTATACTTTTAGAATGCATTTAATTTATAAAGTAGCAAATAACTAATAAAATCATGAAAGCATAAATCAAATCATATATGGAGATTTTCATCAAGAAAATTCTATATAATATTTGAAGTAAAGCTTTTTCTGAACAGCTACTGCTTCTGTTTATGTGAAAAATACCATCTGAATTATTGCCTACAGAATGCCATAGAATTAAATGCTTAAGACACATTGTCATGATCAGTTGATATTTTTGTTTTTCACACAGATATTAGTTCTCATCGACTTAGTGACATTGTATGCCAACTTTCAACCTACACTTGGCTTGTAGTATAAAAGTTCACTTTAAAGCTTGCATATATTTCCTTATAAAAACAGGGCTTTAAATGGTATTTAGTTCCTCAGACTAAT